TCCTTGGGAGGAGTAACCTGAAGTTTGCTGGAATGCCAGTCACCCTCACTGTGTCCACCAGCAGCCTTAACCTCATGGCAGCCGACTGCAAACAGGTGGTGGGGCTGCTGTTGTGGGAGGACCAAGGGGTCTGGAGTCCTCAGGGCCAACCGGGGAGTAGAATAGGAAGAAATTAGAGGGTTGGGTTTAATAACAAATTTAATCCCTGCACTCAGGTGGCAGAGGCAGGTGAATTTCTTTGAGTTCTAAACCAGCAAGGGCTATATAGTGAGACCCTGTACCCCTGCCCCCCAAAAAGAGAATAAAATTAGGAGCATGTAGGACTAGAAGCCGAGAGAATGAGACTGGGGCTCCAAGGTTCCCGGCTGGGTAAGGACACGGAGCCCTGCCGGTGCCTGACATTGACCACTGCCTTCCTTCTTCATCCCTATCAGATCATTGCCAACCATCATATGCAATCTATCTCATTCGCGTCTGGTGGGGATCCGGTGAGTTGGGGGGGCAGAGGATGGGTGCGGTGGCTCCTGCCTTTAATCCCAATAGCCTCTAAATTCCAGGGTAGTCAGAGAAATCCTTAGGAGTGTGGAAATATCTAAAAAGGACAGATATTTCTTTCTTTTTAGGGAAGAAATTCCCTAAAAAGTCTTAGGGGTCAAGTAAGGTGGAGTTGTAAAATTCGGCTCACTGGTCTCTTCTGAATCTGTTCTCCAGGACACAGCCGAGTATGTTGCCTACGTTGCCAAAGACCCTGTAAATCAGAGAGGTGAGGCTCGTGAGCAGCTCTGCGTGGGGCCAACCATCTGAGAAGAAGTGGGGGTGCTTCCCCTACTCTTACCAGTTATCCTTGATAGGGCTGTCCTCTGGAGGCTGGGGGTGGGAGGCTCCTGCCCACCCTCCCTCAGAGCTCACTGGTCCTTCTACTGTGCCCCAGCCTGCCATATCCTGGAGTGCTCTGAAGGGCTCGCTCAGGATGTCATCAGCACCATCGGTCAGGCCTTTGAGTTGCGCTTCAAACAGTATCTCAGGAATCCACCCAAACTGGTCACCCCCCCATGACAGGATGGCTGGCTTTGATGGCTCGGCTTGGGATGAGGAGGAAGAAGAGCCACCTGACCATCAGTACTATAATGACTTCCCAGGGAAGGAACCTCCTCTCGGCGGGGTGGTAGACATGAGGCTTCGAGAAGGGGCTGCTCGACCCACTCTGCCCACTGCCCAGATGCCCAGCCACTTGGGAGCTACACTGGTAAGCTTCAAGGATGGAGACCCCCCAGTCCAGAGTGGGAGTAGCTGGCTAGGGCCTTGGTCTTACCTGATTTTTCTTACAGCCTGTAGGGCAGCATGCAGGAGACGCTGATGTCCGTAAGCAGATGCTGCCTCCACCACCTTGCCCAGGTAGGAACAGTCGGCTGAATGGAACCGAGATGGGTACAGGAGGCAGGGCTGGGAGTGACATAGTCTGTGCCTTTCCTTAACAGGCAGAGAGCTCTTCGATGACCCTTCCTATGTCAACATCCAGAATTTAGACAAGGCCCGCCAAGCTGGGGGTGGGTCTGGGCCTCCCAATCCTTCTGTTAATGG